CCTCGGCCTCCCAAAGTGCTGGGATTACAGGGTTGAGCTACCGCGACTGGCCAGGAATAGATCTTTTTTTAAGGAATCTGTCAATGAGGGAGTTAACATAGTCTGTAGCTTGGGAAGACAGAGTGGAAATCTTGGCAGGAGATAGCCTAGAGCATATTAAACTTCAGCAGAGAGAAGAGAGAAAAGAGTGAGAATATCACTTTTTCACCCATCAAAAATGAGTGCCTTCTTCGTAAAAGACACGAGCCATTCTATTATAAAAAGATGAGTGATGTTTGCTCTTAATTTCTACTCTGTTAGGAGACACATGGTTGCTAACAAATAGTTGTGGTATAGTATAAAGTACTATTGTAAAAAAATGTTCAGGGGAACCATTAGCACTAAGCAGGAAGCTACTCAGAAAAGTCAACTTCGAAGTGCTTGATTTTAGAGTCAAGTTTTACTTAAATTCGCCTCTCCTGTTTCCTTCTCACTTCTCCCCTCACCCTAATAAATTTTAGTAAATGCTGTAATATTTTATTCTCTTTCTAGGAAATAAAAACAGCTCATAAATTGGCAAAGAGATGTTATACAAATCCACCACAGTGGGCCAAGTGTCTGTTCAGTCATTGTTATAGTTTATGGTTTATTTGTCTTCCGGCCTATGTTAGAGTTTCTCATCCTAAGGTCAGAGCACTTCAGCAGGCATATGATGTACTTATTAAGATGAGGAAAACAGATGTGGATCCCTTAGATGAGGTAAGTATAACAAATTGACTTATTGTTTCTAAGATAAATTTTATTTTTGTACTGCTAATAAAATTTGGGTCTAAGTTGCTTTTAAGTGTGCTTAAGCATTTTCATTAAGGAGGAAAGGTAAAACTTACTGTGTTTCGTGGAGCTGGTGCATATTGTTCATTTTTTATTTTAGTTATTTATTTTTGAGCAAGGTTGGATCCATCCTTGGCTCATTGACGTCTCTGCCTTCTGGGTTCAGACAGTGCTGTAGCTCCTGAGTAACTGGAATTACAGGCACATGACACCATACCTGGCTGTGTGTGTGTGTGTGTGTGTGTGTGTGTGTGTGTGTGTGTGTGTATTTTTAATAGAGATGGGGTCTCACCATGTTGTTCAGGCTGGTCTTGAACTCCTGGCTTCAAGTGATCTGCCCACCTCAGCTTTGCAAAGTGCTGGGATTACAGGTGTGAGCCACTACAGCCGGCCATGTTTGTATATTTTTAAAGAGATGGGATCACGCTCCTCTCTTGCCCAGGCTGGAGTGCAGTTTTGTGATCATGGCTTACTGCAGCCTTGAACTCCTGGGCTCAAGCAGTTCTCCCACCTGTCTCTGGAGTAGCTAGGACTACAGGTATACAGTCCTGCACCTAGCCTGGCATATGTTTTTTTGTTTTGTTTTGTTTTTTAATTTTTTTCTTTCAAGGGATGGAATCTCACTTCGTTGCCCAGGCTGGTCTTGAACTCCTGGCTCTTGAACCCCCATCTTGGCCTCCCAAAGTGCTGGGATTACAGGCATGGGCTGCCATGGCCGGCTTCATTTTATTCTTAATATAACTTTATTGGGAAGGAGATAGGGAATAGGCTTTTAGTAAGTGGCTCTCTACTTAGGACCTGTGTCTTAGGGTGAGTTATATAGTCTGTTTTGGAGACAGGGCCATGTACTGTTGCCCAGGCTGGAGTGCAGTGGCGCTATCACAGCTCCCTGCAGCCTTGAACTTCTGGGCTCAAGTGATCCTCCCACTCAGCCTCCCAAGTAGCTGGAACTACAGGTGCACATCACCACGTCTGACTAATTTTTTTAGTTTTATATTTTGTAGAAATGGGGTCTCGATATGTTTCCTGGGCTGGTCTCAAACTCATGGCTTCAAGCCATCCTTCTGCTTGACCTCCCAAAGTGCTGAGATTATCAATGTGAACCATTGCACCTGGCCTGTAGAACCTATTTGTGTTTTGGATTAAACTTCTCAACTTTGGCACTATTGATATTTTGGCCCACGTAGTTGTTTATTTTAGGAGTCTGTCTTGTACATTGTGTAGGATGTTTAGCAGCATCCTTGGCGTCTACCTACTAGATGCCCCTCTTTCCCTGCACAGATCACAACAATAAAAAATGTTCCCTTGGAGAGCAAAATTGCTCCTGGAGAACCACCGAGGTAGATAATAATAGTACCTTCATCATAGTCTGAAGGTTAAATCAGTTAATATACTTAAAGTGCCTGGTTCATAGAAGCACTCAGTGAATGACGTACTAGACATTTTCATGCATATTTCTCTCAAGCCTCAGAAACCATCCTAAGAAGTACATACTGATATTATCCAGTTAATGGTTGAGGAAACTGAGGCACTTATTTAGCTTTTTCTCATGATATTTTTCTTTTTAAAAATTATTTTTGATGTTAAGATAACTATAAACTTTGTTGAACTAGAGCAGAATTAAAAATTAAAAATCTTTGCTGATAATGTTACAGTATATTTAACTTTGTTCTCATTCTTTTAAAGACAAGTCTTGTTGTTTTATAGGCATTTTGGAGATAAGTTTTTAATTCCTTTGGCAGTGAATGGAAAGCATAGTTATTGGGGAGAGACAGACTTTAATTATACTTGATTTTGTTTATTTTTTTAAGACAGTTTTACTCTTTTCCCTCAGGAAAAGAGTAAAATTGCAATCTTGGCTCACTGCAACCTCTTTCTCCCGGGTTCAAGCGATTCTCCTGCCCCAGCCTCCCGAGTACCTGGGATTACAGGCCTGTGCCACCATGCTTGGCTAATTTTTGTATTTATTTTATTTTATTTTTTGTAGAGATGGGGCTTCACCATGTTGGCCAGGCTGGTCTCAAACTCCTGACCTCAGGTGATTTGCCCACCTTGGCCTCCCAAAGTTCTGGGATTACAGGTGTGAGCCACTGCTGCTGGCCTCTATACTTGATTTTAGGAATGAATTACCTCTCAAATTTACAAAGAGTAATAGAGTAGATTTAGTTACTCAAACAAATGGGACATGGACAAATATGTCTTATATGAAATAGTTAATAATGATACTTGTATTAATGAATAGGTTTGGTGTTGTTTTTTTTTTTGAGACAGAGTCTCGCTGTGTCGCCCAGGCTGGAGTGCAATGGTGTGATATGGGCTCCTTGCAACCTCCACCTCCTGGGTTAAAGTGATTCTTGTGCCTCAGCCTCCCAAGTAGCTGGGATTGTAGGCATGAACCACCCTGCCCATCTAATTTTTGTACTGTTAGTAGAGATGAGGTTTTACCATGTTGGCCAGGTTGGTCTTGAAGTCCTGACCTCAGGTCATCTGCCCGCCTTGGCTCCCTAAGTGCTGTGAGGCGTGAGCCACTGCGCCCAGCCTGAATGGTCTTAAAAATAATTTGCTAAGATGCTCAAAGCAGAACAAAGGAGAAAATAATGCTTAATAACTTCATGAAAAGAATTCAGTAAAATTTCTACAATTCACAGATAGGGTAGTATGATAATTACTGACAATTCAATTTTTTGTTGTTGTTGTTAGGTGTGCTATCGAGTAGTAATGCAGCTTTGTGGACTTTGGGGTCATCCTGTTTTAGCAGTGAGAGTCTTATTTGAAATGAAAACTGCTAGGATAAAGCCTAATGCTATTACTTATGGTTATTATAATAAGGTAAGTAAGATCGACATTAGGCAATATGTGCTGCTTATTAAGAATGATAATTTTGTATACCTTTTGTTATTCATGAAATTCCTGTTAAAAGAGGTTTTGGGTTATAATTCTTTTTAAAAAATTGATAAAATGTATGTACATTTATCATGTACAGTATGTTTTGAGATATGTATATTGTGAAATGGATCAATCAGACTATTAAGTAATTGACATATGCCTTCACATACTTACCATTTTTTTGTGGTGAGAACACTTGTCTCTTAGCAATTTTCAAAATACAATACATTGTTATTAACTGTAGTCTCCATGTTGTTCAACAGATCTCTTGACTTTATTTCTTGTATCTAACTCAAATTTTGTATCTTTTGACCAATATCTTCCAGTACCCCGTTTCCCTTCACCTCCCAAAGCCCCTGGTAGCCAGTTCTACTAAGTTTTATGGGTTTCACTTTATTGGATCTCATATATATGTGAGATCATGCAGTATTTGTCTCTCTGTGCCTGGCTTGTTTCACTTACTGTCATGTCCTCTGGGATCATTCATATTGTCACAAATGACAGGATTTCCTTTTTTATTTCAGGCTGAATAATATTTCATTGTGTAAACCAAAGTTTCTTCATTCATTCATACATTGATGAACACTTAAGATGATTCCATATTTTGGTTATTATGAATAATGCTGCAGTAAATATGAGGAGTATAGATCTCTTGAGTGTACTGATTTCATTTCTTTTGCATATCTATACCCAGTAGTAGGATTGCTGGATGATATGGTAGTTCTAGTTTTAATTTTTTGAGGAAACTCCATACTATTTTTGAGGAATCTTTTTAATGGCTGTACTAATTTGCATTTCCACTGAATGTGTAAGTGTTCTTTTCTCCACATCCTTTTTTTTTTTTTTTTGAGCAGAGTTTCGCCCTTGTTGCCCAGACTGGAGTGCAGTGGTGTGATCTCGGCTCACTACAACCTCCACCTCCTAGGTTCAAGCAATTCTCCTGCCTCAGCCTCTCAAGTAGCTGGGATTACAGGCATGCGCCACCATGCCCAGCTAATTTTGTATTTTTAGTAAAGATGGGGGTTTTTCCCTGTTGTTCAGGCTGGTGTGGAACTCCCAACCTCAGGTGATCCGCACGCCTCTGCCTCCCAAAGTGCTGGGATTGCAGGCATGAGCCAACATGCCCAGCTGTTTACATCCTTAATCAACATCTTTTTTTTTTTTTTGACAATAATGATTCTAACAAGTATTAGGTGATATTTCATTATAGTCTTAATTTGTGTTTCTCTGATGTTTAGTAATGTTTAGCATTTTTTCATATACCTCTTGACTAGTATAACTTTATACAGCGAGTGCTCGACTTACGACCACTATTGGTTCCGACAGACCGGTTGTAACACGATTTGGTCATAAGTTGAGTAGGCTATATGCACATGGAGATGGTAGTGCTGCCAGAAGCTGGTCCGCACTGTCGTACGCCCAGCTGGGCAACGTTTGCACTGCCATACGCAGAGCAGTCGTGGCTAGCGATTGTGGTCGTAAAGTCGAATGGTCGTAAGTTGCATAGGTCGTAAGTCGATCAATACCTGTATTTGTGTGTGTGTGTACACACACACACACACACACATATGCATGTATGTGTTTTTAAAATCAGATATTGCTAATGAACATTATTTTTACCCTTATTTTACCTTTAGGTAGTTTTGGAGAGCCCGTGGCCTAGCAGTACCCGCAGTGGTATCTTCTTATGGACGAAGGTACGGAATGTGGTACGTGGCTTGGCACAGTTTAGGCAACCACTTAAAAAGACTGTGCAAAAATCACAGGTCTCCTCAATATCAGGTAATACATGTGATTGGAAGTATACTTTCTTGCTGAACCATGAGCTTTATAGGCATTTGAATTTTTAGCTATGTGAAGTAGAAAACTTAAATTGTGGTGGACATTTCCATATACAATTGAAGACAGATTATCTTAGTCCAAAATTGTTTTTGTTTTTTCTAGAAATTTAGAAAGTGTTCTGCGACTATAACTGAACTGTGGGTCATTCATGTTTAATTTAAGAGATTATCAATGCATGAGTTACTGAACTGCTATTGTCCTTATCTTTAGCTCCTCAGAATGTCACAGGTGGAAGTGATGGGGACACGGTGAGCCACGGTAGCGTGGATAGTTCTAATGATGCTAACAATGGGGAGCACACAGTCTTCGTCAGAGATTTAATCAGGCTTGAGTCCATTGATAATCACTCTAGCACAGGTACTAAAATACAGATTTTACTAACTCTTCACTTACTCTCATGTTTAATCTTTCCTTTTTCAAAAAGCTTCTTCCCTTCTTGAATTTGTGTGACATGAATACTTTAAAAGTAGTAGAAGCACTTTACTTTTAGTACTTTAAAAGTAGAAGAGAAGCAATACAAGTCTGCAGATCACTTTTCTTTATTTCCTATAGTACAGAATTAGTATGGTAGTTCTGTGCGCAGTGCTCTAGCATGATGCTTCTTTGTTTTTGTTCATCATTAATTTGTGAACATGTATGCTATAATTAGGAATTGTGAGCTAAGGAACTTCAAAATTAGTGACACAACTTGCAAATCTTTTTTTAATTAAATAGAAAATATATCTTAAAACTTTATGAATATTAAAAAGGAAAGGAAGGAAGTCACACCATGAGGAAAAGCATTCTCTTTAAGTTACGGTTTTTTTTAGATCTGAGAGCTACTGAAGCTGCTTTTATGTACATAACCATGGGAATAACCCCTGTCCTCTGAAGTTAGAAATAAGTATAGTTAAAGTAGCACATCGTGCAGATATATATGTGTTGCACATCCTTCTTCTTGTGTTGTTTTTTTTGTTGTGGTTGTTTTTAATATTTCAAGCCTTCCTTTAAAAAAGAATTCTGGGTCTAATTCCTGTGCTTCTGAACTTGTCTCAATGACTGAAGTTTCCTTTTCTCTGCTCTTTGTTGCTTTGCTTTTTGCTCTGTGCTGTTTCTTGGTGCTGCATTTGTCCTTGGCTGTCATGGTGTGGGGTGCAGACAGACTTGTATGACGTGAAGCTATGGATACACGTGTGCATTAATTCTACCCTTGACTGTTAACCACATCAGGTAATTTCCCATTTATTAGGTTAAATTTTGCTGACATGCAAGGGTGGGGGAAAGACTTTCATTGTATTTTAAGTATTGTTATGAATGGTAAACAGTTTTTATTTTCTTGCCTTTCTCCTTCAGATAAATGTAATCATATATAGACTCTATTGAAAATATCAAACTAACTTTCTTTTTTAATGGTCCATTTGCAAAGCATATTTTTTATCTTATTTGAAGATATATTAGGCCTTGCTAAAATTCTTATTTTGAGGTTGGTTTGTAGCATCATTGTGACAAATAGTGTTAAAAGCATTGAAGAATTAATTGTTTCAGCTGTTGAGGTGGTGTGGTTATTTCTTTCCAAAACTGTTCTACTGAATTATTATGCTAAAAGCAACCTTCCTGTAATTACAGGAGCATGTGTAAATAATTGAAAGTCAACATAAAGCTATACATTACAATTCTGTTTGTAATAAACTTCCTCAGTTTGCTGTCATGTTTGTATATTATATTAACAAATAAGAATTTTTATGAAACATTTATTTTAAAGCTACCTTATTTTATTTCCTCTAGCATTTTTTGCTGATACTTGTAGAGGACATGAGATTCATATATAAAAAAAACAAAAAAATTTTTTTCTTATGAAACCAGTTTTCCAGGAATAGTAATAGTAATACATAAATACCTTCCCCCATTCCTTCAGATTTTTAAGTCTATCTCATCATAGAGGCAATTTACTCCTTTAATGGAAATACCAGTCTCCTAATAATCCTGAGTAATTGATATAAAGACTTCAATAGTTGGGTGAGAACCTTCAGGTCCCCCTTATATATTTTAGCTGCATTTCAGATGACTGAATTCCACATAGTGAATTCTCAGTGGTGGTGTGTCTCTGTAGAACTTCTCATGATGCCATTTGATGCTTTTGGAGTCTTCAGCCCAGGTGCTTAAGTTGCTCATTTCATTAAGGACTATCTTATGAAATCTTTCCACTGGGTACCTGATACAGAGTCATTTAGCTGTTAGGGGCATGTTTGGTTTTAATCTAGCCAGGTCCCAGCCTAGTGTTTATTGCATAGAACAATATTGCTTTACCAGACTTTTTGAGGGAGCCAGTAAAAATGTGACTGAAGTTAGTCATTCTAAGTAATATTATTTAAAGACATTTAATTCTTTTGTTATAAAATGCAAACCCAGAGTCTGGGTGGCAGTGTAATAAGTGATGGAAAATGGAGGTACTTCGTATGTTATTTTATGTGCCTTTTATTGACATTGACATCTTTATGCTGATTTCTCTAGTGCCTGATCTTAGTTTTGATTTTAAATGATAGAACTTTAAAGTCAAAGCAGACTTTTAAAATATTTGAAATAATCTCAAACTTAGAGAAAAGTTGCAAGAATAATACAGAAAACTCTCGTATCTTTTGTCTAGATTCACTGCTTTTTAGTTTGCCACATTTGCTTTGTTATTTTCATTCTTTATGCATATACATACCATTTCTTTTTCCTAAATCATATGTGCAGGGTACATACATCTTGCCCTTTTACCTCTTACTATTTCAGTGGTGTTTTCTCTTATATATAACCATACTTTAGTTACCAAATTCAAGAAAACATTGATATACTACTTTATAGTTGATATTCCAAATTTGTCCTTTGTCCTAATGTTCCTTGTGGTAATTTAACTGCCTTTCTTTAGTCTTCCTTAACCTGGCACAGTTCCTTGGCCTTTAAAAAAATCTTTTATGACCTTGGCCTTTTTGCAGAATTCATTTTAATTATTTTGTGAAATGTTCTTTAATTTGGGTATGTCTGCTATTTCCTAGTGATTAGATTATACATCCATGGGTTTGCTACATAAATGATGTTGAATCCTTCTCAGGTTATCACATCCTACAGGCACACACAGTCTGTCAGACCATCATCGGTGATACTGATTTGGATCACCTGGTCTCACTATTGTCTGGTTTCTCTGTAGATAGTTACTATAATATTTTTTCCCTCTCAGATAAAAAGCTATTTTTGAAAGGACACTCTGTGACAATGTGCTAGTATCCTTTCTCATGACACTTTCTCTTTTAAATTTGATATCCATTGATGATGCTTGCCTGAACCAGTGATTACTATGATGGCTAAAAGTAGTGATTTTGCCAACTCTGTCACTCCTTTAGAAGATGATATTCTAGTATACAGAAAATTCTCCATTCTTTCCTTTTTTTCTTATTTATTATGAGTACGGATTCCTGGATTCCTATTTTATTCATTGAAGTGTAATTCATGACTGTCCTTATTTGATCTTCAAACTATCCCTGTGTTGGCCAGTGGGAACTCCTGTAAGCTGGTTTTTATGTCCATTAGATATTCTCCTATCATGTTTCTGAACACTACCTTTTTGGCACAACAGACTGTTCCGGCTCAATCTTGTACCTTCTCTATCTGAGCTCTAGAATCAGCCATTTCTTCAGGAATTCCTGGTTCTTTTTTATGGGGACTCGATTTTGGAAGCTAAGATTTCAGCTCACTGTTACCATGGTGTTACTCCTTCTCAACTTTTTTCCTAAGCTAGAAAAGATGTGTACTGTACATAAAAAATAATTTCAGAATTGTCACACTCATTTCTCTGTGAAAAACAAACCCACTAGGCAGTTCAGGATTTGATGATTACTCATAGGCTTAGTGTAAATATTCAAAATAATGTGTTCAAAAGTTACTTGAATTTGTCCTCCCCTGGCCCTTTCAGTGTGGTTATTCATGTGATATACAGTTGGCTTCATTTGTTTCTGTTTGCATTCAGTTGTACCCCCTTTATCTTACTGATTTTATTTTTTTTTAACATGCAGAAGTATATTAAATCTGCAAAGATAAAAGCAATACCATAGCCATACATAGAGAAGTTTTCTGCCTCTTTATTCATTTCATCTTATTTTCCCCCAACCCTGGTAGGTAACCATATTTACTGTTTTCTAGTTTATTTTTCCTGCATTTCTTTTTGCAAAAGGAAGCAGATATATGTATTTTTCATTCTTACATAGAAGGTAGCATTCTGTAGACACTCTCCAAAAGAGACTTTTCCAAACATCTTGTCTAAATCTTTTTAATTTACAGATGAAGAAATTAAGATTTAGTGCTTCCAAATGTGTTTAGTCTTTGATGTTCCTGTTTCTACTGTTCTTTGGTGCTTATCATTATTTTTAAAATGTTCTGTGTGCCTTGTGTGCTTTCTTGTCTTCCTTTTCTCTAACTTTAGTTGTGTAGATCAGTGGAATTTTATTTTGATATTTTATATATGAATTATAAGTATATGAAAACATTTATGTGTAAGCCTGCATTCTTTTTAACAGGTGGTCAGTCTGACCAAGGATATGGGTCTAAGGATGAACTTATAAAGGATGATGCAGAAATTCATGTGCCTGAAGAACAAGCAGCAAAAGAATTGATAACTAAAACAGAAATGCAAACAGAAGGTTAAATACTGATATTTATGAACTTTACTTAGAATAATACCTGTATTAATTAAAAGTTTATCTTAGTTGATAGCTTTGATGATTATTTTCACAAATGTGAGGTCTGGCTCTTAAGATGCTACATACTGTTATATAAGGTAGATTTCGGTAGTCTCTGAAGTTTAAGAGACCTTTATTTCTTTCTTTATGTTTTTTTTTTAGAGACAGGGTCTTGCTCTGTTGCCCAGGTTGAGTGCAGTGGCGAGACATGGCTTACTGCAGCCCTGATCTCCTGGCCTCATAGGATCTTCCTGCCTCAGCCCCCTGTCAGCTGGGACCACAGGCGCATGCCACCATGCCTGGCTAATTGTTAAATTTTTTGTAGAGACAAGATCTCACCATGTTGCCCAGGCTACTCTTGACTTCCTGAGCTCAAGAGTGCTTCCTGCCTCTGCCTCCCAGAGTGCTGGGATTACAGTTGTGGGCCACCACACCTGGCCATAAGAGACCTTTAGAGATTCTGTAGGTCAGCCATTAATTTTGCAGGAAAGTATGACCCATTGAGGCATTTGCCAGAATTACATAGCTACTTTTGACAGAACCAGGACTAAATTTTGAGTCATCAAAACTTCTATTTTAGTGCCCTTTTTAATTTTAAAATGCTCTTTCACTAGCAGTCCTTTAAATATATAGGTGGATAGTTTTCATTCATGGGTTAAAAGTAGTCTGTGGGGGGCCGGGCGCGGTGGCTCAAGCCTGTAATCCCAGCACTTTGGGAGGCCGAGGCGGGTGGATCACGAGGTCAAAAGATCGAGACCATCCTGATCAACATGGTGAAACCCCGTTTCTACTAAAAATACAAAAAATTAGCTGGGCATGGTGGCGTGTGCCTGTAATCCCAGCGACTCAGAAGGCTGGGGCAGGAGAATTGCCTGAACCCGGGAGGCGGAGGTTGCGGTGAGCCGAGATCGCGCCATTGCACTCCAGCCTGGGTAACAAGAGCGAAACTCCATCTCAAAAAAAAAAAAAAAAAAAAAAAAAAGTAGTCTGTGGTTTTCCCAGTTTTTATAGGACTCATTAAGGTAGAGATAATTTGTTGGAATCATTTCATGAAAATATAGAGGAATATTTTGGCTTATAGAATAAGATGTTCTTCCTCTTCGCTTTCAGAAAAGTGCACTTTCTTTGATGTTACTTATTTTATACTCCAGAATTATGGAGAAGCAAGCCCCTTTCCTACTGGCCAAGTGATGAGAAGGAGAACTGAAGGCCAGAGAGACTTAATTGATTCACTAAAGAACATTCATGTTAGGATTATTGAATACTAAAACAAAGCATTTATTTCAGTTAATACTGGCAGCATTTATGGCGTAAAATAAACCAGATACAGTCTATTTTACTTTGTGTCTGAAGTAAAATAGACACACTATTGGAGAAAACACACATACTATATAAAAATCAATATATGCTTTCTGTTTAATATTGGCAAAAGTCGGAAGGATAACATCCAAATATTTTTTTCCAGAGGTGTGTGATGCCTCTGCTATTGTGGCAAAACATTCACAACCGAGTCCAGAGCCTCACAGTCCTACTGAACCTCCTGCATGGGGCAGCAGTATTGTGAAAGTTCCATCTGGTATATTTGATATCAACAGCAGGAAATGTAGCACTGGTGAGTCTTTACATTTTGGTTATTAAATACTTAAAATATACTTCTATACACACATATGTATCTTAAATGACATTAAATTGTTTACCTAGTTGTAATGAACATGCTAAAGAGCCAGAAGGGACTTTCGAATTCTATAAATAGGCTAAAGAAATTGAAAATATTTTTACTTAAATGTGTTTGACTTTTAAAAGGAGTATTTGGTATATTTAGTTGTTATTTGGAATACCCTTTCCTGTTGTGGTGACTGTTCTCCATTTGGCCACTGTTTCTCATTGTGGATAATGAGAGAGTGTACTTGTAGGGCTTCCTGTATGCATCATGAACAGAGAGGCAGTGATGTGATCAAATCCCAGAGGGCTTATGAATGGCAGGCTAATTCCTATCAGTGAAGGGAAGTGGAAGACAAAGATTCACATCATTTCCCCTCTACACAGATATGCCAGTGGGGCTTTAGTTTTGGCCATTGTTATAGGTACCCCAAGCCACTTCTTATTTGTGATTGTAATAAATAACTCTGCGTGCATGACTCCCATGAAAGTAGTTTTCTACTTTCATTTATGTTGTAGGCCTTCCAAGAGTCTTATGGCACACATATAAGTATATGATTTTTGGTTTTTTTTTTTGAGATGGAATCGTTGCTCAGGCTGGAGTGCAGTGGTGGGATCTCAGCTCACTGCAGCCTCCACCTCCCGGGTTCAAGCAATTCTCTGCCTCAGCTTCCCAAGTATCTGGGATTACAGGCACCGCCACCACGCCTGGCTAGTTTTTGTATTTTTAGTAGAGACAGGGTTTCACCATTCTGGCCAGGCTGGTCTTGAATTCCTGACCTCCTGATCTACTCGCCTCAGTTTTCCAGAGTGCTGGGATTACAGGTGTGAGCCACTGCACCTGACCTCTAAGTATATGATTTTAAAAGACAATGAAATTGACCTGCATCCTTTGCTGTTCATTAGCGGTGGCTACAGTTCACTTTTCTAAAGTTGACTCTCTTGTCTGAAAATGTATCTATTGTGTGACTTTACAGAAATTAGTTCAGATTCTTAAACCAATATAAAAGCACTCCTTGTTCTTAAAGTCTTTTCTCTTTGTATTTACTGTGACTCCAAGTTTCACTCACTACATTTTTGGGTAGTGCTCAAGAGATGGGGCTAGAGGTTTTTTGAGAAAATAATTGAAAAACACATTGCAGATCCCATTTTCCTAACCTCTTGATAGCAAAGATGCTGGGGAAATAGAGTGAAGAGTTTTCTTCATCACAGGCTTAGAATCCCCTAAGAATATTGAACTGGACATGGTCTGTGGACTTTTGTGTTACTTTCCCTTTTAACTTACCTTATTTTCCTGTTAAGAATGAAGGGCAAGGATAATGGGACTTTTGTCAATATAGCGAATATTTTTTAAATTGAATAAAATATGCTGTTAAATTTCTGGAAGTACTATGAAAACCAGTAATATTTGCAAAGATTTGTTTCTCAAATATTGGGAACAGCCTTTAAAGCAGGTACATATTTTGAGTTGTAAAATAGGTTAGTTTAATTCCCATTAAGGCTTAAAAAGAATATCTCTAAATGCTTATTCTGATTAATTGATATAAATATGATTTTTAGTACTAACTTGAAAGATTAAAAAGAACCTTGAAATCAATCTTGAGGTTTAAAAGATCTTATCTAAGACAGCCTTCTTCCTTGAAGCTCCCAGACATTATGCTTTTTAATACAACATATGATGTGACTACAGTAAAAGGCACTGATAAAAAGAAAACAAAGGAAAGTAAACACAAATGAGAATCCTAAATATGAAATTTTCAGGCTGCTACACAGTTTTTGAGACAGGTCTCACTGTGTCACTTAGGCTGGAGTATAGTGGCACAGTCATGTCTCACTGCAGCCTCGACTTCCTGGGCTCAAGCAATCGAGGATTCTCCTACCTCAGTCCCCCAAGTAGCTGGGATTACAGGTGAGTGGCACCACGCCTGGCTAATTTTTCTATTTTTTTTGTGGAGACAGTGTTTCACCATTTTGCCCAGGCTGATCTTGAGCTCCTGAGCTCAGGTGATCCACCTGCCTCAGCTTCCCAAATTGCCGGGATTACAGGTGTGAGCCACTGGGCCTGGCCTGACCCTAACTTAAACAAAACAAAACAAAACAAAAAAAGAAAGAAGAAAATTTTTTTCTTATAGTTCTAGGGACTGTAAAGTCCAGGATTAGGGTTTTAGCATGGTGAGTTCTGCAGAGGGCCCTCTTCCAGGTTGCAGACTGCTAGCTTCTTATTGTATCCTCGCACAGCAGAGAAGGAGAGAGCTCTCAGGGTTTTCTTCTAGAAGGGCTCTAATCCCATTGATCAGGGTTCCACTTTCATGATCAAATTATCTTTCAAAGGCCCTGTCTCCTAATAACTGTCTCATTGGGGATTAGGATTTCAACATGTGGATTTTGGGGGACACAAACATTCAGTCTGTAACAGGTAGACTTAAGTTCTAATAATGATTCAAATAGGAAATAATAGCTTTTGGTCTTGGAGTGAAGCAAATTACATGGTAGCAAAGAGCAGAAGTCTGCTTGCTTCTTCCAAAGCTGAGGGAAGCCTCTATGGCCACTAGCATGTTTTTGCTTTATATGATCAAATAAGACCAACTTCTATGAAGGCTGAGATTATTTCTGTTTTATTTGCTTTTGTATTCTTAGCACCTCATATAGTGGATATTAGTAGGTGTTTAGATATTTGTTGAAGAAGTGGATATATCTGGATTATTTTTTAACCACTCAGATTTTATCAGCCTTTTTTTTTTTTTTTTTTTTTTTTGGTGGAGACAAGAGCCTCAAACCGTCGCAGTTGCCTAGGCTGGAGTGCTGTGGCATAATCTCAGCTTACTGCAACCTCTGCCTCTGGGGTTCAAGTGATTCTCCTGTCTCAGCCTCCTGAGCAGCTGGGATTACAGGTGCCTGCCACCAGGCCCAGCTAATTTTTTGTATTTTTAGTAGTGACGGGGTTTCACCGTGTTGGCCAGGCCAGTCTCAAACTTCTTACCTCCTGATTTGCCTGCCTCAGCCTCCCAAAGTGCTGTGATTACAGGCATGAGCTACCACGCCCAGCCAGCTTTCTTAGATTTGCCAGCGCTAAGCATTCCATTCCGGATTCTTTTACTTTACAGTAGTAGGGCTGTGAGTATAGCAAATATACAATTCCTCTACAATTACAAATTTGCTTTTTGCAGAGTAGATTCCTAGCAAGTATTTGTTGAATGGGTACAAAACTAAGATGTAAGAGATTCTTTCTTTTTCTGTGTTTTAGTGAACAACACAGACATATCCATCTATCATATATTGCATGATTTGTTTTTTTAAATGGGTGTTTATATACATACAGGATGAAAGACAGGTTATACATTAAAATGGTTTAAATAGCTTTTCCAGGGTACTTTTTAAAAAATACCTTCTTTATCGCCTCTGAATTTTCTGGGTCTTTTATTCTGTGTATATGTCACATTTGTAATCAGGAAAACAGTGAACATTTTAATAAAAGTTAGCTTGGAAAATAGAGATTCATTGTTAATATTTTTGCTTTCACTTTTAGGTAGTATATCAAATGTGCTGTTTTCTACTCAAGATCCAGTAGAAGATGCAGTCTTTGGTGAAGCTACTAATCTCAAGAAGAATGGTGTTAGAGCAGAAAAAAGACAAAAGCATTTTCCTGAGAGGAGTTGTAGTTTTAGTTCTGAAAGTCGAGCAGGAATGTTGCTTAAGAAGAGTAGTCTGGATTTGAATTCAAGTGAAATGGCTATCATGATGGGAGCAGATGCCAAGATTCTCACGGCAGCATTGACATGCCCTAAGACTTCTCCACTTCATAACGCAAGAACCCATAGCTTTGAGAATGTTAGCTGTCACCTACCTGATAGTAGGACTTGTGTGTCTGAAAGCACTTGGAATCCTGGGCACAGATCACCTCTGGTGCCAGAGATACTTGAGGAAAGCCAAGAACTCCTTGAGCCTGTGGTTGATGACATAGCTAAAACTACTGCAACAGAGGATACGTATGAGAGTCTACTCAGTGATAGTGCCAGTAATCAGTCCAGAGACTTGAAAATAGGATCCAGAGATCTGAAGAATAAGAGAAGTAGTTTATATGGTATTGCTAAGGCGGTTGAGAGGGAAGATGTTGAAACCGGACTAGATCCTTTGTCTCTTTTAGCCACTGAATGTACAGGGGAAAAAACTACTGTTTCTGAAGATAAGTTATTTTCTCCAGTTATTGCACGTAATCTGGCTGATGAAATAGAAAGCTATATGAACCTAAAAAGCCCCCTAGGTAGTAAATCTTCTAGTATGGAATTACACGGAGAGGAAAACAGGGAGTCTGGCATGACTGCTACATTTATTCATGCTCTAGAGAGGAGATCAAGCCTACCTTTAGATCATGGTTCACCAGCACAGGAAAATCCTGAAAGTGAAAAGAGCTCACCTGCAGTGTCCAGGTCTAAAACTTTTGCTGGGCGTTTCAAGCAGCAAACCCCCTCTCGAACTCATAAAGAACGTTCAACTTCTTTGTCAGCGCTAGTGCGTTCTTCACCGCATGGCTCACTGGGTTCTGTAGTAAATTCTTTGTCAGGATTAAAGCTGGATAATATACTCTCAGGGCCCAAGATAGATGTCCTAAAATCTGGCATGAAACAAGCAGCGACAGTAGCCAGTAAGATGTGGGTAGCTGTTGCATCTGCCTACAGCTACTCAGATGATGAGGTAAGAAAGCTTGATGTGTGTAGTCTATCTGCTATTGGAATGTTTATAGTATCTTTCTAGAAATATATGTATTATTATTAAGAGATTTCTGTGCCCAGGCTGGAGTGCAGCGGCGTGATCTTGGCTTCCTTGCAACCTCCGTCTCCTAGGTTTGAGCGATTCTTCTGCCTCACCCTCCTGAGTAGCTGGGACTACAGGGTTGTGCCACCAAGCCTGGCTAATTTTTGTATTTTTGGTAGAGACAAAGTTTTGCCATGTTGGCCAGGCTGGTCTTAAACTCCTGACCTCAGGTGATCCACCCTTATCGGCCTCCCAAAGTGCTGGGATTATAGGCATGAGCCACTTTTCCTGGCTGATTTCTGATAACTTTGGTTTTTATATTTTGTATAGTCTATCTGATACTGGAGTGTCTGTATATCTTTTAAAAAATATGTGAGGGATTATTAATAGAGTTCTGGTAACTTTGGTTTTCATATTTTAAAATTATGCATATTTGGTTTCTTTCTTGAAGTAACTTGAACATACATGTAAAGAAGTTGATAATGTAGAAATAGAATATCAGGATTACTTTATAATTCCATAGACTAGTCTAAACTAAAACATTGTTTATTTTTTTGAAACTTCTAATGATTAGCGTTTGAAGTTAATAAAAATGCCATATTATATTTGTGTAGCAATCACTTTTAAAATAATTTTTACCTATGTAATCTCCTTAATACATGTGAAGTCAAGCTGCAGCTTAATCCATAGATTTCATACTACATGATAAACATAATTGTCTTTAAAAAGCATTATAAATAGAGTAGTTAATCATTAGATCTTTTGATGAAAATGAAAGTGGGGAAATTTTGCTTGTTTTACAGAAAAAAATGGAAATGTCACCTTGTATGCAAAGAATTGTATAATATTTGAGTACTTTAGTAGAAAAGGCAGATATCTATATGTTGCTGTCATTTTTTAACAGTATGTCCTAGGTACTGTTATAAGCTATATGTCTATTTTATATATGAATATATACAAACATGGTATTTAATTTTCATAGCAACTCCATGAGGATGATACTATGGTTATCCTGATTTTGTAGATGATATATGAAATTCAGAGAGGCTAATTAGCTTCCCAAGATGACATAACTAGGGAATGGTGGAAATATGATTTGAAGTCAGGGAGATTGGCTCCAGAGTCCAGGCTCTTACTGTAGAAGCAGTATCTCAGGAGAAGAAACCAAAGAGCAATATATGAAAAGAGGTTCATGTTGGGGGCTATCCAGGAAAAAAAACCAAAGCAGGTGATATGTAAGTTGGGATTTGAAGGATACATTTGACATTTGGGGTTAAAGCCGTAAGAAGATTGTCAGAAGAGTATATCTGAAAGAATAATGTGAAATGGCATGAAAGCTTAAAATATCATACACTTTCAAGATAATCAATTTCAGGTTATTAAAGGTCTAAATCAGAATTAGAGACATGGGAAAAGAAATTAGACAAATAAGACTTTTATACCATTTGAAGGAAAACTTTATAGGCAAAATAATAATTGAATTAAAATTGTAGTATTGGGTATTATAAATTAACTATTTTGTATTTAAAGAGCTTATCAAATCAGTCAAGGGAAGGCAAAATAAAATAGCTTCCAAAGTGTCTTAACCTGGCATTATGAGAAAAAAAAAAGTGTATCATTTTATTTTATTTTTATTTTATTTTTTGAGATAGGGGCTTGCTTTGTTACCCAGGCTGGAGTACAGTGGCACAGACGTGGCTTACTGTAGCCTTGACCTCCTGGGCTCAAGCAGTCCTCCTGCCTCAGCCTCCTGATTGCTCCACCATGCCTTCTAATTTTTTATTTTTTGTAAAGATAGGGTCTTGCCATGTTGCCCAGGCTGGTCTTGAACTTCTGGGCTCAAGTGTTCCTAGGTCTCCCAAAGTGCTGATATTACAGCCATGAGCCAATGCACCCGGCCTTCATTTTATTTTTGAAATTTTATCGAAGTTGGGTATGAGGACTCATGCGTCTAATCCCAGCCCTTTTGGAGGTTGAGGTGGGCAGATTGCTTGAGCCCAGGAGTTTGAGAGTAACCTCGGCAACATGGCAAAACCCTATCTATACTACAAATACAAAAATTAACTGGGCATGGTGGCATGCACCTGTAGTCCCAGCTACCCTGGAAGATGAGGTGGGAGGATAGCTTGAGCCCAGGAGGCAGAGGTTGCAGTGATAGGAAGTCACACCACTGCATTCCAGCCTGGGTGACAGAGACCCTATCTCCCCTCTCCCGCCCCCCAAAAAATTATCTGTTAAAAATAAAAATACATTCCACAGGGTTATTTGAACTTGGAGTATATGACACTGTAAGTTCCAAGTCACCGTGGATCTGATCTTGTCTTTTCATTGTTGTAGTAGCCCTGGCACCAGTAAGCAATACCTGGCAAAAGACAAATAGTATATACTTAATAAATATTTACAAATAAAAGAATGAATAAGAAGCCTATAAAATGTTTATAACTCATCCAGAGTTTAAGGAAATAATTAGAGGTATATATAAAAATAGAGGAATTTACCAATGTAATTTATATAATATTTGAAACATTTTGAATGTTTAAGCAACAGGGGAGTTAGTAAGTATGTAATAGTGTATCAGTAAAACAAATGAGTTCACAGGGGTTTAAATAATTAGAAGAAAATTTACTGACACTAAAATAGTTATATAAGAAGTACAAGTTAACAATATTCTAATTTGTAAAGATTTATTATATGATTTTATATGTATATTTTAAATGACTAGAAGGCTATATATCAAGATTTTGATTTTATTCGCTGACTGTTGGTATCAAATGTTTTTTATTCCTTGTTTTACTTAACTGTATTTAATTTTTAAAAATCATTTAACATGATTTTTATAACAAGACACAAATCTTTTATTTTTACGCAGAAAACCTGATTATTGAAATGTTTTTCCATGTAAAGCTTCAACAATCACTTACGTAGTTAAGAACTACAGTGTTTGAAACTTTATTCATGTTTTGTGCCTCTAATATTGATATTTGTTATTCTGAACATTCATATTCCCAGCAGAAATGATCACAACAGCCTTATTTGAAACAACTCATATTATCCATATTTTCAGATTACATAATTAAAATTTAGAGAAGTTTAGTAATTTCTGTAAGGTTACATACCTAATAAATAGTGATGAAGAAGGTCATACTCTGGCTGGCTGACTCAGAAGCCCCTACTCTGCTTGCACTGGGATCCTCAATTCCATTGGAGACAGTGAGCTCCCTAGAATACTGTTATTTTATACAATTGAATATTGAGAGACACCCAGACCTCCCACATGCACCTGAGGCACAACATGATCTTTCTTAAAGTATTGTTGCTTATGGCTTGAGTGTCTTAGAGTGTGGAAGGGAAGTTCCAATTCATGGTTTTGAAAAATGGGGGGATAATTTGTTTAAGGATTATAGAGTTTTCTGAAAAGGGTAGAGTGAGTATGTTCCCATTGGAGAAGGTATTATTCATGTATGTGGAATTTTATTTTTTTCAATTAAAGGAAGAAACTAGTAGAGACTACAGCTTCCCAGCTGGCCTCGAAGACCATATTTTGGGGGAGAATATGTCGCCTAACACAAGTATCTCAGGGTTGGTCCCCAGTGAACTTACCCAGAGCAACACAAGCCTTGGCAGTAGCAGCAGTAGTGGAGATGTAGGAAAACTGCATTATCCAACAGGTATGGGGAAGGATTTTCCTTTCTTCGTTTGCTTCATAATAGTCTTTGCTTTCTTTTTTTAAAAATTTATTTTTATTTAAAAAAAATTTTTTTTAAGAGACAGGATTTTGTCATGTTGCCCAGGCTGGTCTCAAACTCCTGGGCTCAAGCAGACTGCCTGCCCCTGCCTCCCAAAGTGCTGGGATTACAGGTGTGAGCCACAGAACCTGGCCTGTCTTCACTTACTTTAATTTAGATGCCTATAACTTCCCTGCTCCCCAACAAGCCCCATTTGTTGAGATGACTGAGACATTTTTAATACTAGCTGCCTTACCATCTATTCTGATCTTGCATGATTTATAACTCCTGTGATCACCTACTGCCTTTGCTTTTGGTTGTATATATTTGTGGGCTATATCATTAATTCTCAAACTTTGGCATGCATCAGAATAATCTGGGGAAATTGTTTTAAAATATATGCAAGTGTCCAAGCCTTACGCTAAAACTTCTGAGACTGAATTTGTGAGGTGGAGCCTTGGGATATGTATTTTTTAAGCAGCTCTCTCTGGGTGAATCAGACATATACAAGAGTTTGAGAATCCCTAGGCTGTGTCATTGAAGTTTCTTTCTCCATATTACTTTTTTTTTTTTTTTTTTTTTTTTTTTTTTTTGAGTCGGAGTTTCGCTCTTGTTACCCAGGCTGGAGTGCAATGGCGCAATCTCGGCTCACCGCAACCTCCGCCTCCTGGGTTCAGGCAATTCTCCTGCCTCAGCCTCTTGAGTAGCTGGGATTACAGGCACGTGTCACCACGCGCAGCTAATTTTTTGTAGTTTTAGTAGAGACGGGGTTTCACCATGTTGACCAGGATGGTCTCGATCTCTTGACCTCATGATCCACCCGCCTTGGCCTCCCAAAGTGCTGGGATTACAGGCGTGAGCCACCGCGCCCGGCCGTCCATATTACTTTTTAAAATTATAATTCTTTTCTTTTTCTTTGACTTTTTATTATAAAAATTTCAAATGTCTGGGCCGGGTGTGGTGGCTCACACCTGTAATTCTAGCACTTTGGAAGGCCGAGGCGCATAGATTGCCTGAGCTCAGGAGTTCGAGACCAACCTGGGCAACACATTGAAACCCTGTCACTACTAAAATACAAAAAAAATTGGCTAGCTGTGGCAGCGTGCACCTGTAATCCCAGCTACTTGGGAGGCTGAGGCAGGAGAATCGCTTGAACCTGGGAGGCAGAGGTTGCAGTGAGTCGAGATCATGCCATTTGTACTCCAGCCTGGGTGACAGAGCAAGACTCCATCTCAAAAAAAAAAAAAAAAAAAAATTCAAATGTCCTGAAAGTTGAAAGAATTGCATAATGAACGATCATGTATTTTCCAACTAGATTTAATTAACTGTTGTTAACTTTATCTCTATGTATGCATACATTTTTATATTGAGCCAATTGAAAAACATTTGCAGACTTTATGATATGTCTCCCCTAAATACTTTGGCATACATTTTCAAAAAATAGGGTCATTCCTTGTGTAAGGTTTTATGATGTTTATTCCTTTGTAGGTGAAGTTCCATTTCCAAGAGGTATGAAAGGACAAGACCTTGAAAAATCAGATCATGGTTCTTCTCAAAATACCAGCATGTCTAGCATCTATCAGAATTGTGCAATGGAGGTAAAAGTTCTATATTCAGTTCATGATAAAGTAGCTGTAAGCATATTTTTATTTCAGATTGGCATTTAACAGGATTCTATTATACCCTTGGGGACAGTATATATAATAAAGTAAGTCATTTTGTTGAATTTGTTTGATGTCCTATTTAAAATAATGAACTGGTAGTTTACCTGTGAAATAATAGAACTGTTAAAAATTCCAAATTTGATCAATGGAATAAATAAAATCCCATTATCTCAAGAGAATTCCTGTTAAGATTAATTTTTATTAGAGGTTCTCAGTGTCTGCATTTTTCTGTTTTTAGGTTTTGATGTCCAGTTGTTCACAGTGTACCACTTGTGGAGCTTTAGTCTATGATGAAGAAATTATGGCTGGATGGACAGCAGATGATTCAAATTTGAATACAACTTGTCCATTCTGCAAAAGCAATTTCTTGCCTCTTCTCAATATAGAATTCAAAGATTTGAGAGGTTCTGCAAGGTTAGTATTATAAAAGCTCCCTCAAGAAATAAGCACCCCCAAAAGAAATGAGTTCTGGGAGAAGAGTGAAATATTCATGGTATGCTCCAGGTCTGCCTTCCTATCTGTCCTTCACCTTCAGTATTTGAGTACGAATACTAGTAATGTGGGAGCCTACTTTTCCATTTTATTTAAAGTAGGATTATCAGCCAGGTGCCATGGCTGATGCCTGTAATCTCAACATTTTGGGAGGCCCAGGTGGGATTATTTCTTGAGGTCAGGAGTTTAAGACCAGCCTGGGCAACATGGCAAGACCCTGTGTCTACAAAAAAATTTTTTTTAATTGGCTGGGCATGGGAGTCTGCATCTGTGGTTGCAGCTACTAGAAAGGCTGAGACAGGAGGATTGCATGAACCCAGGAGTTTGAAACTGCTTTGAGCATGTAATTTAAAAGAAGCAAAGGGGGAAGAAAAGGCTTCAACTCTTCTGTTATCACTTGCACTTCCTGGCAGTGTTCTGTGCAGTGAAATGACCAAATTCTAGGCAATAGAAAGGAGACTAGCTGATCTATAATCAGACATTCAATAATTGAGAGTTTGGTAACACTATGCTGACCTAAGGGATTATACTGTTTGTTTTATGGAACAAATTGAACTTTTTATTATTTTCTGTCTTTAGCTGCTTTAAAAAAAATACATTGCTGGGTACAGTGGCTCACGCCTGTAATCGTAGCACTTTGGGAGGCCAAGGCAGTGAGATTGTCAGAGCTCAGGAGTTTGAGACCAGCCTGGGCAACATGGTGAAACCCTGTCTCTACTAAAATACAAAAAAATTAGCCAGGTGTGGTGGCGTGCGCCTGTAGTCCCAGCTACTCAGGAGGCTGTGGCAGGAGAATTGCTTGAACCTGGGAGGCGGAGGTTGCAGTGAGCCGAGATTGCGCCACTGTACTCCAGCTTGGGCGACAGAGCGAGATTCTGTCTCCAAAAAAAAAAAAAAAGTACATTTAGGCCTGGTGCGATGGCGCACACCTGCAATCCCAATACTTTGGGAGGGCAAGGCAGGTGGATCACTTGATGTTAGGAGTTTAAGATCAGCCTGGGCAACATGGCAAATCCCCATTTCTACAAAAAGTACAAAAAAGGTTAGCCAGACATGGTGGCACATGCCTGTAGTCTCAGGTACTCAGGAAACTGAGGTAAGAGAATGGTTTGAACCCAGGAGGTGGAGGTTGCAGTGAGCTGAGATCGTGCCACTGCACTCTAGCCTGGGCTACAGAGTGAGACTCCATCTGAAAAACAAACAAAAACATTTAATTGTAGAGGTGTTTCTTCTCTGTTTTTCTTTTAGCTTCAGGCATGGGGGTAAGTCAAATCATACTCTTTAATTCCTGACACACTATCATCTTTGGCCTGTGCAAGGGCCTTCTTGTATTTATTCTCCTTTCCCCATTCCCATCCTCATTCACTTATTCTACAAAGACACTGACTCTGCTAAGTGTGATATATATCTCAATTTATTTATTTTTATTACTCAGTTTAAAATCTGAGTTACTATATGTATATCTGGTTTATGCCTGTTCTCCTACAGTAACTTAATATGTCTTTGTAGTTATCCATTATTCTAGTGTTAGATACTTCAATTGCTTTCAGTTCTCTATTACAACAAACATCACTGTGGTAATGCAGTGCACTGCCCAATACGTATCCCCTTTTGGACTTGTGAAGTAGTTTCTCTCAGAAATAATCCTTGGAGTGAGATCATTTTCATACATGATTTTAGTAAACACAAAATATTGCTTCCCAGATGGCTACACTCCCACAAGAAGTAGTACTCAAGAATTCTCATTCTTTATCTTTTCTTTTTTTTTTTTTTTTTTTTTTTTTT